CAAAACTAACAGGTGAAGTGTTACACCTGCTGAACTGTAGGTATGTGCTGACAAATGATTCTTTGCATAAATAGCTCTCTGTGGGAGATGGACACCTCAACACATTCATGAAAGACAAGAAGACATTTGATTTGGATAGCAGTTCTGCTGAAATCTACTAACTTGGACGTAAGCACTTGACTTCATGATTTGCTTTAGCTTTGGTTGAATTAAGCATAATTCAACTACTTTGTTGAATTAAGTAAGGAATACTGGGATTGTCCTGTAGCACTTAACATGTAATCATCATTAAGAACTATAAAAGCAAAAAGGAGAAATGCAACTCTGATAACTATAGGGCAGAAGTAGGCAATGTTTTTTTGGCCGGAGTGCTGAAAAAACCACAATGTCCACCTGGAAGATGCTGGAGCACTGACATGCTGGAGCCCAGAGCAGCTTTTTGCAGCCTCCCAGCTGCAGCTGGCCCATGGAGCCTGGTCTGCTTGCAGCTTCCCAGCCACCTGCTGGGAGCAGCCTGGGCTCCATGGCTGGCAGCAGCTGCTTAGAGCCTGGGCTGGCGGTGGTGTGCTGAGCAAAATGGCCTTGTGTTCCATGCTTGGCACGCATGCTGGGGGTTGCTGACCTCTGCTATAGGGAAAATGGCTTAGGCATATTACACCTGGGATTTTTCCCAGGTTTGCTTTCCTGGTAGAGAAACTTACCCGAAGATGCATATACAGACATTGGCATGCTATGGCCCTGAAGAGTGGAGCGCTCCCTTAATCTGCCTGGCAACAGATAGCAGCAGTGCATAGGAAAAGCCAGTTTCCCTGAAGCACAATGTGGGGATTGTGAAGGGGACAGTTTCTGCTTGTGTGCTGGAGCAGCAGAGTCCGGTGAATGATGCGCTGTCTCCAGGTGGGGGGACAGGCAGGAATGGGATGCCAGAGGACTGTGCCTTCTTTTGAGGGAAGTCACAGCATGTACAGACACTTTCTCTCGGGCAAAACTCTCCTGGGAGTGATTTCACCCTGGCAGTCCTGAGAGCAGTGACTCTCTTAGGAGAAGTTGAGTTTCTGTACAAGGCCTTTGCTGGCCATGGTTGGCAAGATAATGTTGGAATCTTTCCTTGTGATTCTGGAAGCTTCTGTTCTCTGATGCAGGTTCCAGGCGACGTGAGGCATTTAACTTGATTTTTCCCTGTTCGGCGAATTCATACAAAACACCATAAGCAAAATCTTAATCTCCCACACAGCTCTTATTGAGTTGCAGAAAGCCTGCGACACAGAGGTGACCTGGACTTTGGAGCCTATTGGAAAGACTAAACTAAGAACATTTCTTTGTTTTTAAGACATCTCCTTTCTTGTGCTTGTGTGTTGGTCTATCTGACATCTTTCCTGTGAAGAACTGTCACAAAGGATGTAGCTTTAGGGCCAGTTATGTTCCAGTCCTTCTAGGAGCCATTGCTGGACGAACGGGCCCATGACTTCAAAAGTGGATATTGAAATACGACATTTGTTTGCCTTGTTTTTTCTGTGTAAGGAATCCTGGCTTCCTTCACTTACAGGGAATAGATCATTAAAAACTCTAATGGGTGTTATAAGTGTGGGTCTGAGAAAAACAAGCTAGTGTCTATAATAGTAAGGTTGGTATGGTGCTAAAATAAGCTCCTTAATACCTACTTCTTATTGCACATTTAGTCAGCAGTTCTCAAAGTGCTTTATAGAAGAGGTGGTTATTCTCATTTTACATAAGGAAAATCTGGACCGAGGGAGACGTGACTTTGCAAGGTTATTCAAGCCAGTAGTAGAGAGAAAAATTAAACCCATACTATCTTCCACTTTGTATTCTGCCCATTTGCCCGTGCTCCACCCTCAACATATAGATAAGCAGCAATTTAAGTTGGAATTCATTCAAAATGTTGTGGAAAAATATGCTTAAACTAAAAATCATAGAGGCTGGTGTTTTTTCAATATTTTGTAAGTTGTTTTTTTTTAGGGAGGCGTACAGAATGTGAGAAACAACTAAGTGGCTAGAAAGATCTTGCTGCTTGTTCAGATACAGGAAATAAATGTTTGGCCTTCATTGAACCATTAAGTAGGAAAATCAGAAAATGAACCTTTAATTTATTTTGCTAGAAGTTCCTGCTTTATGAGGTGCACTTACTGTGAAATGCTTCTCCAATTCTCTGTACTTTCAATGGTCAGTTAAACCTGCCTTGTACAGAAGGTAGATCAGGCCATTTATTGAGGTCTGGCAAGCCATCGAGGGCCACATGACAGGCAGCCCAGGGCAGATAAATATTAATTTAGTAAAATTTTTAGGGGCCCTGCAGGCTAAATAGAATGGCCTGGCAGGCCACACCTGGCCCCGAAGCTGCATTTTGCCCACCCCTGAAGTAGATATTTATGTTGATTTCCAAACTGTCTTTTTTTAAGGATTGAACTTCATGTGTTGTCATAGGCCCAGATTTAATTCTTAATGGATGTCTCATGTATGTCATGTTTGGCCTGAGGATGGCTTTCCTCACCTGGATGATGCTCTGTCTGCTTTGTCTATGGTGGTATACTTGTATTGTAATATTTTCACCCCCCCAGTGCTACAGTTTTTTTTTCTAACACTGGTCAGTAAACATGCAGTACCAGTTTCAGGTATTGAACCCAAACTCTTTTAAACCAGTCTAGTTACTGGTATCTCTACAAGGGATGCATGGCTATGTGGATCACTAAGATCTCTTAATGGTTCACATTTATGGCATATCATGGCAAATTATTAAAAGGACCCTGGTGGGAGTGCTGTGAATGTGGAGTTCCTCCTACAAGAATTTGTACCAATATTTGAGGGCTGTGGTCTTGCTGAAAGCTGAAGTACTAGGACAAAATGATAATCATGATAATTCATGACGAACTATCATTTGATACATGTTTTGATGTCTCTTCCCAACAGTTCTAGAGAAATACTAACTTTGTATGGCTAAACCTAAACAGGAGTTAAGCACCTAAATCAGTGTTTCCCAACCAGTTTGCCACGGCACAATGGTGTACTGTCAGTAATGAACAGGCGCATCACAGAATTTTGCCATGACAGTGAGCTACGATGAGCTCATAGGTATGAAGATGAGGAATGCTTTAACAGGTGTGCTGGGGCAAATTGTTATTAATTTAAGTGTGCCTTGGGCTGCAGAAGGTTGGGAAACACTGACCTAAATCCATGCCATCCCTAATGTAATTGCCATTGAAATTCTCAAAGTGTCTCCTTAGTTGCTGTCCAGACCTGGTGGTGCTTAAACTTCTGCTGTTTGGGACTTGTACAGTCACTAAAGTCCAGATATTGTGGAGCTTCTTGGAGCTATAACATTTACCTAAACTCTTGGTTTGCTAGGTCTACCACAGTCGATCGTGGGTCTTAAGCTGTGCCCCATAGACTGCACAAAAATTTACAATAGTAATATTTTTATAGCATCTTCTTTTCAGTTCATTGGGAAATTTTTGTCGTCTCTAATCCAATTCTTGAAGTGACAATATGAGTAGTAGTTTTAGAATATCTTTAATAATTTTTTTAGACTTAATTTGTAATCAATGTTCAGCACTCCTGGGAGATGAGTTTCTGTTTTCAAGATATAGATGAAGAAGCTGAGAAGTCAAATGACTTGCATATTCAACAGCTGGTAACTGTCAGGACCAGGAATATAATCCTGTGTTCCTAGCTATGTGCACTGATATTGCCACCTGTGTATTGAATTGTACTAAATAAATATGGGAAAAGGACAGCCTTCTGAGATTCTTAAAGACAATTTAGAGGGACAGAATGGCCAGATTAATGTCAAAACATATATTCATTAGATGTATTAACAAATTTAACAGACACTTAATGTTTAACACTGACATAGAATATTTAGTCTTTTATTAGCCAGAATCCCCATAATGAGAAACATAGGAAGAAAACTAGCCTGGAAGAAGATATTAGGAGAACATTTAGTCTATCCTCTGCTCATTTCAGGATCATCCCCATCTAAAACAAATGTTTCTTTCTAACGTGTTCTTGACCTTCCATAGTTAGAGATTCCACAACTTCAGGCAAATAGCTTTTACTGTTTGAACTCCCTCATAATTAGGTTATAAAGCTTTCTTTGTATATCTACATTTCTCTTCTTGCAGTTCAAGACCTTTTACTGCTTGCTGTCCATTTTCCATTGTGAGGAAAATTGATTATGCCATCCTCTTCAACCACTTCTGTGTTTTGAAGAGTTGTTCTACCCTACCCCCTTCCCATCCTTTTCTTCTCTGGACTAAATAATCCCAATTTTTCCCACCTTTACTTACCTGTCTGTTTTTAGATGTTTAGCCATTTTTCTTGCTCTTTTCTGGACTCTACCCACTTTTTCTTGTTAGTATATCCCTGTATGTTTTTAGGCTCTCTCTTACACTAGTATTACATTGTTGGTTCTGCATCCAGCGTAACCTAGACTATTTTTGCAGTACTGCAGCCTAGCCAGCCATTCTCCATTTTATCCCATATTCCAACAAATAGAAGGGGTCCTTGAATTTAAAGTACACCCACATCTTCTGATGCTTTCTCAATTTAAGTAAAAAAAAACAACAAAAAACAAAAAACAAAAAAAAACAAAAAAAAAAAATCAAATTTATGATTACAGATGTATTTACTTAAGTTGGTAAGGGGAGGGTATGGGGCTAATCTGTGGCGTGCTTATCAAAAAGGTTGGCTCCTATTAGCATAGGTGAGAGCATAATGTAGCTATTGTTCTACAGTGTTCATATCTAGGCTTCAAATTGTGTGTTGCATTCTAACACTGTTTTTGCAATAATGAAAATATGCTGAAGGCATTTATACAGAGCACAGGTTGCACATAGTGACAGAAGTTTTAGGACTGTCTTAGTACAGTTTCTACAACAATTTATTAAGCAGCAGGAATCGAGTTTAATGATTACAGCTCTTGAAAAGAATTATCTATATAAATTATTTGTATACCTGAGAGAATAAGCTCAATTTTCCTCTTGCAGGGAAGCCTCAAGAGGAGCCGACAAGTTTCTCCACAGGAGTTCATCCAGGAACTTAAATCTGGAGCAAATGATGAAAGACTTGTCACTTGCTTAGAGTCTCTCCGAGTGTCTTTGACCAGTAACCCTGTCAGGTAACGTATTCATCGGTTTGAACAAAATTGTCATATTGAAAATATTAAAAAAGTTCTCAGTCTACAGTTTCTCTCCTGAATAAAACTAGTTTATATGTACGGTTGTGTGTTTTGTTCTGTTTTAAGGTATGTATTGTTTGAGTTTGCTAGTCTTAAAATAATTTTTGTTTGTTCAGATGAAGCAAGCAAAAGGGAGAGAATATGAAACAATCTCTAGAGCCAAAGAAAAATCAGCACTATTCCTGACTGCTAGATAGATAATCTTCCAGTTGATACAAATTCAAGAAGTACTTTTATTTTTGGAATGTGCAGCTTATCCCCTGGGTTATTACTTTTGGACAGGAAATCTGGGAGGGTTATTAATGTATTGCCAATCACTAGAGTTCCTCCCATTTGTTTGCATGGATATTCTCTTTTCTTCCCAGCATATTTTGGTTTGTGTTTGCCACTGGGAAGACTAATGTCAGAAGTTATAGGTTTGCTTACCTCTGAGTTTAAAGGTGAAAAACTCATTCTATAAATACATTAGAAGTAAGGGAAAGACCAAAGGATATGATGATGGGAAACCTAACAGCGGACTGTAAAGCCTAAAACAAACTTCTGTTAGATGAGGAGCACAGTTGGCAGCAGGGTGAGGGAGGATAATTATTTGCCTTAAAGCAGAGATAGAACAGGCTAAGAATTGATGTTGGCTGGAAATAAATGTCACCCAGGGAAGTGAATCAACTGTTTGGCAGCCTCACTCTCAGGACTGCACCAGTGTCCCAACCTTCCGACTTTTAGAGATGTGCCCTTGGGTGTTCAAACTAAAAAGTGATTCTTCTACTGTCTTTAGCACTGGTGAGACCTGAAGTGGAATACTATGCAGTTTTGAGTATCATAATTTAAGCCGGGGTGGGCAAAATCTGGCCCACAGGCTGAATCTGGCCCAGCAGGCACTTTAATCTAGCCCATGACCCTCACCAAATAGTACCCAGCCCAATCCTTCTGCCCATGAGGTGGGAGTGAGGTACCTACTTATATACACCCTCCGCTGACACAGCCTATTGTACCTCAGTTCCACCCTTGTGGACAGAAGGGCCCAGCTCAGCCAGCATGCAGCTTCCGGGTGGGACTGCTGCAGCCACTGGGGTACCTGCTCAGCTTCCCTGGTGTCCCACTTGCTCTGGGTAGTAAGTAGGTTAATGGGGGTGTGGAAGGGGGTGGAGCTGTAGCTGGGTGGCAGAGCAAGTCATGGGGATGGGGCTGATGGCAGTGCAGAGCCTGCTCAGGAGGTGGGGGCAGCATGGAGCTCATATGGGCAGGGTGTGAGGCAGAGTGGGGATAGGTGTGGGCCCCCCTTGGCACTCTGCTCCATGGTGCACAGCCCCTGCAGGCAGCAGTAGGCAGGGGTGTTCAGGGCGCTTGTGCCTGGCATTGGTGTTGCCGCCTAGTGGTGCACAGCTCCAGTTAGTGTTGCATATTGTGGTGAGGAGTGCAGCCAGGCTGGGCTGCCTCAGTTACCAGGGCTACTTGCCATTCATGTGCAACTCCCACACTTCTGTGCTGCTGGAGGGAAGCTCCACGACCTGGAGCTGGCTGCTTATGTTGCTCCATGCTTTTCAGGTCCTGGGACTCTGCTGGAAGTGGAGGAGACCCCCATCCCCCACTTCCTTGCAGAGTCCTGGGACCTGCACAGCAGGGACTGGAGCAGGCAGCTGGCTTCAGCACGTGGAGCTTTCCTTTAGTGACATGTGAGTGTGGGAGTTGCGCATGAGTGGCAGGGAGCCCCAGTGATAGAGGTGCTGTGGGTGGGCTGTGCTCTTTGCTGCAATGTGCATCACTGGCCGGAGCTGTGTGCCTCTGGGTGGCAGCACCTGCACAGGGCATGAGTGCCCCCACCTGCTGCTGCAGCTGCCTACAGGGGGCTGCGTGCCGTAAGGGGAGTGTGCGTGCGTGCGTGAGAGTGAGTGAGGGGTGGGGGGGGTCCCCACAGCCACCCACCATCCCTTACACCCCACAAATGCCATACACCACCCTGCAACATATCCTTTGCTCCTGCCATGCCCCTGACAAATACACAGACAATACAAGACTAAGAATTTATTTTTGATTTATTATGCAATCACCTCTATATACAGTATGCAAACAGAAATAATAGGTATTTGACTTAAGTGTATGATTTTTTTTTTTCTGGTTCTAAGATGCCCCCCCCCCCCCCC